GGGGGATTCACTGAATCAATTGCGGCCACTGTTAGTGTCTTTTCTTTGCACGTACTATTTGTTGTTTTAGCACCCAAATCAATAAAAAAAAAAGAACATCAACAGGAATGAGCAATATCGGTATTATAATGGTTATTGGCCGATATATTTAAGTGTTCATGCTTGTACAATTGTTTGGTTTCCCGTATTTTTACATTTAGAATACCTTTGTCATCATCTTTAAACCCACTTTTAATTTAATAACAATGTTTTTACCAAATTCCAAAATAATGATATATTTTTCAAACTGTACATTATAATTTTATGATCCTTTTTAATATTTAATTTCAATATCTGACATTTATCAGTTATCGGACATAACAAGAAAAAAATATTGGCTTATTTTAAAGGGGTCATATGATGCGATTTCAAGTTTCCCTTTCTCCCCCCCCAAAAAAAGGGTCAGTTCTGACTTTGCTATGACAATCTGGCGCTTCTGAATCAGCGACTGTATGTTTTGTTATTAGTTTAAGTATTTGCTATTGACTGTTCAAATGCGGAGTCTTGCGCAGCGCAGAGTAACGCGTCGTGTGTGTGTGTGTGTGTGTGTGTGTGAGGGGAACAGGGTCACATCACAGGAGAGCGAACTGCCTGTCAGAAATCATAGCACGTCAGCTGTCTTAACCGCGGCTTGTGTACTGCATCATCACTGAGGCTTTCACGCGACTCTGTTGCCCTTTCAGGCTTGAACTGATGGTAAAACTAATGACATTATTAACTGTCTTGATATTTAGGCTGAAAACTGAAGCTCGCGATTATGGTAAGGGGCATTACATTTCCGTCGCATGCTTGTGGCGTTCGGCCAATCACAATGCACTGGGTCAGCTGGCCAATCAGAGCAGACTGCGCTTGTCAAAGGAGGGGGCTTTGTTGAAAACGACGTGTTTGAGAGAGGCGGGGCATAGAGGACCTACAATAATGTACAGTATTTTAAAAATAATGTGTTTTTTGAACATTAAAGCATGTCAATATATTCTGTTACACCAAATACACAAAATAATGATCTTTAAAAGAGCATCACATGACCCCTTTAATATTGGTGCAACTCCACAAATTTGAAATATTGATGGACAAAAGTGGCGCAACTTTAGTGAATTCGCCCTGAGGTTTTAAGAGGATGAGGACTGATTCTGAAGACAATTGCTCAGGTCTGACTGGAACATTGGGACTGTCCTACTGTAACATACTGTATGTACATCGATCCCTGTTTATTGTAAAAAAAAAACAAAAAAACAAAAGATCTCTAATCCACCTCATGAATGTGCATCTGCGCACACATGAGGAGGCCGCTAGCATTCACTGAGCTGTCTGTGCATGAATGTTTAGTTCTCATTAATAGTCATTATCCTGTGTGTTACTGCAGCCTTAACCTCAAAATAGAGCAGTTTCTTTGCAAATATATGACACAATCAAGAAATGTCAAATCAAATGTCTTAAGAATAATACATCCAAAAGGTCTAGTGGCTTTTAGATAAATGGTAATAAAATGAGCTCAAACTAAGAGACTAAAAATCAAGCAAATTAGGGGACATCACATTTAAGGAATAGTTCACCCAAAAATTCCAAACAACTGATAAACCTATAGCTTTTCTCTTCACAAGGCATTCATTGGTGGACTGGAGTCATGTGTATTATTATTATTATGATATTTTTATCAGCTGTTTGGAAACTTTGGACTCTCATTCTGACGGCACCCATTCACTGCAGAGGATCCATTGGTGAGCGAGTGATATAATGCTAAATTTCTACAAATCTTTTGGAATAAAGAAACAAAGTCATCTACATTTCGGATGGTCTGCAGGTGAGTAAATGTTCAGCAAAGTTTCATTTTGGGGTGAACTATTCCTTTAAATCTTTGCTGCTCAATCTAGCAGCCACCATGTAATGTCCTTCTATCTTGTCTAGGTATGTCATTATATGTATGCCAGTGCCACGTCAATTTCCATAATCTGCACTCTGTAAAAATGGTCTTTTTATTTGTATATTGTTTCCTTTTACATTAAAACTTGCTTAAAATGTAAATAATAAACTGAGAAACATAATTGTCAGCTCCGAGATTCATTACAAATTCACGTACACATATTGATGGTAGTACTGGAAGATCTCTTTATTGTTCTTCTTTTTATAGGTACTTCAGATGGAATGTCAATAGATCAATATCGTCATCATGATGATTTATGTGTCAGTGTCAGCATCACACAAAACCATCTTAACACATTTTGTATGTTTGGAACAGTGCTTATCTATAAGCAGTGGTGTTTAAGTTGTCATAACAAAAAAGAAAAAAAGTCCAAAACGCTAATAGTCTCACAAAAATGCCCATTTTGCAGATACAAGATGGTTGCATGACAACACTAAAATATCAGGTAAGAGTTTTCATTGTAGTTAAACAGATTCTCCTAATGTGTTGAACATTAACACACTGTATGCATGCAAAAAACAAGAGTATACTGGCAAAATCAACGACTATTTGAGCTTGATGACGACACACAAGACCATGAAGGCTTGTTTTCACAGGAAAATGCTTGCATACTTCAGTCTGCTCTTCTGAATGCTTGGAGTTCAAGGCATCAAAGTGCATTCTTCATTGACTTAATTGAACATAAAAACGAACAAACCATATTACAAATATTTTTTAAATACTGAAATCTACACTTCAATAACATGAGAAACCGTAAGGTACTATATGTCATAAAATGTTCCCTTGAGGTCTCAGAAGACCCCCAAACACAACACAAACCAGCATTAAGATAGATGTAGATGGTTTTGAATATTTTCTATGGAAAGATTCTAACTTGTGGAACAGTAACAGAACATCAGCTGATAAATATACAATCAGTCTGTATAAAAAAAACAGCATGCCTGAAGAATTTAGATGGATGGATGGATGAACCTCATGAACATGAAAATGTACAAGAACATATTTTAGCATCTCAAAACAAACAAAACTTTTACATGAAGAAAAACTGACATTTTTTAAACTGACATTATGAGAATTAAATACAGTTTATTCCCCATTTTAGTACTGTGAAAAATCGTTCTAAATATCATTCTTCTTATGCAGAATAATATATATATATGATTTAGACGTACTTGACAGGTTTCATGAGATTCACCCTGGAGTGTTGCAGTAAAAACACAAAATACTAAACAAATGTTCATCTTATGTAGTTTCAAAAAGCAAAACTTCAAATAATAGGCTTGTGCGTAAATGACAGGGTGTTTTTTAAAATACATAAAATTTACATATTAATATTTATGATATATATTATTGTGCAATTTTAATAATCAATAAAATGATTTTCGAATTCAAAATAATACATTTTACCATTATATATATATATATATATATATATATATATAAAACTTAAATTACTTTTAAAATATAACACATTAAATTAATGTCATAACGCAAAAAATGACTAGGCTAATTGTACTATAAAGTTTCATTTTCTTTATGCAAAATATAATTTCATATTTTTCTTTTGATTTTAGGGTGAAAAATAACCTGGACATGTTCTTGAAAGTTTTCATGTAGTTTAGAGATTAACCAAATTATTTTCATTATGATTTCTCCATTAGTCCACTGCCAGTCGTAGCCACAGAAAGTGTGGACAAACCCTCTCTTGTGAATAGTGCTTGTGAATGGCAGTAAAATAAATGCTTTTTGTTTTGACCTTCTCAAACTCCAGACGTCCTTCTCTGGCTGTTTCAGAAAATGGAGGCTACTGTGTGGCACAATTAAAAAAAGAACCAAAGTATCTGACCCCCCCCCGGCCACAAATGTTCACTCTTTCCTCTAACCGCCCTGGAAGACACTAAAAGGAGGTTCTGAATCTTACGTCTCTAGCTGTACAAAGGAGGAAGGAGCAGAGACTTAATGACACTTACATCATCAGCTCTCCTGCTCTGGAAATGCTAACAAGTATAGAACACTCAGCATGGATGTGATGTTGCCATGGCAACTGAAGCTAGACTAAAGACGGTAGGTCTGTAATGGGTGCAGTGGGACATGGATGGGGCGAGTGCGATTATCTTTTGGCCTTGTATTTTGAGGTATCTCGGGGCTCTTTGCTCGGGTTGCTCCAGTCATCCGCTCCTGGGCCTCCTTGATAGTGTCGCCAAGCAGATTTGTTGAAGACAGGCAGGCGCTCAAATGATTCGCTGGAGAGAGCCTGGCAAGAGAAGATGATGACGGGGTGGATGTCACTCAAAACCCATCGGTGGAACAATTAAATAAAGTGCAAATTATAAGCTGCTTTTACCTTCAGGTAGATGACGGCATCGGTCCCTACGCCTTCCATCGAGTACAGTTTCAGGTCCCCTTGAAAGTAGCGGGCGTACAGTCTGGATATCGGCAAACCATGTCCAAATCCAGCCTAGAGACGCGTGAGGATCAGGTTACAGAGGACAATGCTACATTTAGAACTGTTGTTCAAGGTTAAAGTTGGTTGTTTTTCCTAAAATTGTGTCATTCTTTATTCACACTCATGTTCTTCCAAACTGTTATGACTTAACTTTTTCCAGTGAACACAAAATAAGAAGTTCAAGAAAAAAGAAAAAACAGCACCATGAAATTAGCATAAATAAATACATACAACTTTACAGTGTTGTTCTAAACCAGGGGTGCCCAAACTCGGTCCTGGAGGGCCAGTGTCCTGCAGAGTTTAGCTCCAACCCCAATTAAACACCTGAAGCAGCTAATCAAGCTCTTACTAGGCATACTAGAAACTTACCAGCAGGTGTGTTGAGGCAAGTTGGAGCTAAACTCTGCAGGACACCGGCCCTCCAGGACCGAGTT